ATCTCAAGTTCTATAATGACAAAAAATGTATGTCCATTCTTTAAACTAGCAAATAATTACTTCCATTTTTGAGTTTATCTAAAAAAAGAAAAAAAAATTTTGTCCAGTTTTCAGACTAACAAATATTTATGATAGTTTTTGCACATCATAAAGCTTTTGCCCAGTTCCTGAACCGTAAAAAGTTTATTTCTAGTTTTGAAATTACAAAAAAAGGTAAATTTACAGAGTACCCAAAATCTGTTCCAGTTCCTAAAAACATAAAGTCTACCTTTAATATTAAAAAGAAGTAAGTTTTGCTTTTAAGGGACAAAAAAAAAATGAGCCAAAAAAATTTTCCACATTTAACCTTCAAATTTAATTAAACTTTTAAGCTTAGAAGATGGCGTTGAAACTCCTCATCAACAACAACAAATATTCCTATGTATGTATATATAATTATTACGTTATGTATGCCTGTTGATATCGATTCCCACTGCGATTGCATTACCTCAGTTATTGGTAAGAAGAAGAATAATATGAAAATTCGAGTCAAAGCGCCGTTGCATTAACATTTCTACCTGCCACACGTTGGCTTGCTTATATGTAAATACATATGTACATATGTACACTTATGCATCTGAATATGCGCAATAATACAAATCAGCGTGTTGCACGAACCACACATGTGTAATAACAAAAACGGAAAAAATCGGCACAGAAATCATAAATATTTGCGAACGAAAATCAAGGAGCAACAAAAAAAACATAACATCCATACGATGTCTAATCATAGCAAACGTTTTTTAGTGTTGCTTCTATATATAATATATATATGTACGTATGTAAAATAGCAGTAAACTGTGGTAGAGGAAACACAAAACCGAAAAGCAATCACAACAACCCCATGCATTCTAACGGGTGCTATGTGTACATTTGTATTTGTCTATGGGCTTATGGCTGGATAATACTTTGTAAATTCGCGGATTAGTTTTATAAGTTTTCCGTCCTTTCGTGGCGTATCGATGGTCTTACTAAGCAGGCCTTTGATATACATATACAGACATACATAACGCAATTTCTATGCAGAATGCTAGTGATTCAATAAGCCTTTATAAGTTTAAAAGAGGACTTATGTATAACATTTCTAGCTTTTCGTAGGTTTTGCGTAATAGAAGATAGTGCTGATAAACTCAATCAAAGTCAGTATAGCTTGAGTCCGAAGAAGTCAGTTTTAGTAATGGACAATGTTGCTTACATAATTTTATTTAACATTGGTAAAGATGAGCAGACTACACTGAAGTTTGCTGCTACAAATTTTGACTATACAGGGCGTATGAGTAACAAAACGAATTTACAGGTATCCGATTTAATTAAATTTTTGGATCTTTATTCTCAGTTTCTATAATTATGATCCGAGGCCGTTGATCTTCTTTTGTAAATAAAGCACAACAAATTTATCGATATTTATGAAACACAATATCTGTTAAATGTCCACAAGGTCCTTTTGACCGAAAGCAATGGTTGAGTTAGCAAAGCACTGGCATGCCATTCGAGAGATCTGAGTGCGAGTCCTCGGGCAGCGGACATTTTTTCCTGTTTTTAATAATTTTTTTTTTCTTTTTTTAATCATGTCTATTACGTCCCTCGGATACAAGTCTACTCCAGTCCGACAAATGCTATTAACATGAATCTATGCCTCCGTCTAACACCGTAACAGGCATAATTTTTATAAAAAGAAATATACATATATTCATAATTTTTAGAAACTTATTTTACTTTTTTATTTGTATTTATTTTTTTAAATTTAATTGAAAAGAAAATATTTTTTTAGAATAATAAAAATTTTGGAATCTGTTTTTTTTTTATTTTTCTCAGGTAAATTTTTTTCTTTCCTTGATTTAATTTTCTTAAAATCTTTAGATTTTATTGTTTTAAAAAGGAAAATATTCTTTTTAATTAATTTAGTTTTATAAGCTTAAGAAGCTGTTTTTAATTTAAAATTTTTTGTTATTTTAATAAAATTAAATTTTTGGAAATTTTTTTTTAAATTTTTCTCAGGTATATGTTTTTCTTTTCTTGATTCAATTTTCTTAAAATCCTTAGATTATATTGTTTTAAAAAGGAAAATATTCTTTTTAATTCATTGAGGTCTAGATGGTTAAGAAGCTGTCTTTAATGTAAAATTTTTTGTTATATTATTTTTTTTTTGCGTTTTTAGATTATATTATTTTAAAATGAAAAATGTTTTTTTTTTTAATTTCACTGAGTTATTTTATTTTCTTATTTTTTGTTCATTTTCTCTTCTGTTGTAATGCAATTTTAAGATTTTATCGTTTTGAAAAGAAAAATACTTTGTAAATTAAATTAAATTTATAGAAACATGATTTTAGTATTTTTTTATATTGCTTTTTTTTTAATTTAGTTTACATAAAATTTGTACATTTTATCGTTGTAAAAAGGAAAATATTTTTTTTGAATTCGTTCAATTTTTAGGAGCTTAATTCAACCTTTTTTAATTTTCTCTACATTTTTAGGTTATATTATATTATTATGAAAAAATATTTTTTATTAAATTTTTTTTCGGTTTTCAGTTAAGTGTAAGGAACTTATTTTATTTTCCAAAGTTTTATTTAGTTTTTCTTCTTTTTTAATTTAGTTTTTAGAATTCATTGTTTTCAAAAGAAAAAATGTATTCTTTAAATTTAACTAAATGTTTAGAAACTTTTTTTAAAAAATTTTCTTAAATTATGTTTTTATAAATTTAATTTTCTGTAATTTTTTGAGTTTATTGTGTTGATAATTTCATTTAATTTTTAGATTATTTCAATAATTTTTCATTTTTTAACTTAATTTTCCTTTAATTTTTAGTTTATATTGTTTTAAAAAGGAAGATATATATATTTTTTGTAATTCAATATGATTTTTAAAAAACTTATTGCTAAAAGTTGCACAAAGAAACGCAAATCTTTTAATAAGTCTTTCGAAATACAGAAAAAAGCTTCAATATAAATAGTTGCAAAAATAGTTGTTTTAGGAAAGACTTTTGTTTTTCAAAAGACTGTGGTGAGTCTAAAGAAAGTTGCCAGAATTGCCCCTATGTAGTCCGAAAAATATATAAAAAATCACCCTATATTTTTTACATACATACATACAAACATATACATTTGAGTACAGCAAGTGAATACATGTCCAATAAAACGCTAAAAGCTCACATCTGAACATTTTAGGCAGCATGTTGCATGCCACATGCCGCATGTGGCATAATCGTGTGGCTTATGTGATGGCGTGTCGCAGCGATGTCGGTGGCGTTGGTGATATGATGGCATGTGGTTTGAGTCTGTACGGTTTTCAGTCAAAATAGACAACAAAACAAGAAAAAAAAAATACAGAAAAGAAAAATAACAGCAAACCAACAAAGTTCAATGAATAATATGAGTAAAACACTGTAATCACGTGTTGTTGCGCATTTATTTATGCGCACAACAACAGTGCAACACACCAAACGAAAAAAAACACAAAAAACCAAAACAGAAAAACAGCACAGCAAATAAAATTTATTTCGATGTTCTTACGAATTTATACTTACACACACACACACACAAATATACGCCTGCGTTTAGTTTTTCTGATTTTCTTTTTTGCATTTAATAAATTTTCCAACAATTTCGACTGTGCGATTCTGGCTTGTACACTTGTATGTATGTACATACGTCGTATTGCTGCTATCAGCGCGGTGGTCGCGCATGCGCCGCAATCTAAACGAAATCGCTGAAATGCTCGCCTTTTGCTCGCGCGCTGTGGCTAAACGATGCTGGTGTTTTTCGGGCATTCGTTCATTGCATTGCATTTCGTGCATTTCTACAATTTCATTTGATTTCTGTTGTTTTTTTGTTTTTGTGTTGCAAACCTTTTTTATTCACCTTCGGCGTGCGGGAGCGTGTGAATATTTGCTCAGGGCGCTCAAAAGCGTTCACCAACTGCCTGGCTGCCCTGCTGCCTCAAATCGAAATAAATGTGCCACAGCGATGTGCCACGACGGTGTCGGTGTCGGGAGGGCGGAGGCGGTGTATTCTCCCGTTCGCCCAGTTGTTTGCGTCTGTCTTCTGGTGAAGTAATCTTAAATTGTTACCGATCGTGTTGTTGTGATTTGTGTAGTTTTTGTTAATTTTTTTTTTTGCATTATTTCGTGTCGTTTCTATTTCGTATGATTTTATTACAATTTTGTTTGTTGTTGTTGTTATTGCAGTGCTTGTTCTTGTTGCACTTGTCTCTAGCACTGCCTCATGCAGATGCACCTGCGGCTGCCACTTTCACACCACAAATCCTCGATCTAAGACGCTCCTCTGCTGCTTCTCAGTTGCAATGTTTTATGTTTTTCATCGTTGTTGTTGTTATTATTCTTGCCTTAGGTCATATCGAAATGCAGTTAGTCAGGCAATCTGTCATTGATACGTCTGTTTTGGCGGTTAAATTATTGCTGTTGTGCGACGTTAGTTGCTGCAGTGGAGTGCCTGCGGTGCTAAAAAATGTATGCACCGATGCTTCGATGAAGCTGATTATCGGTTGAGGAAAATTAAGGGATTTCAATCAGCGCTTATGAATATGAAGTTAATTGGCTTTTATGGCATTTGGATTTACAGCTGAATACATATACTTTTTTTTTCTTTTAAACAAGTGGCTATTTATTATAACTAAAAGCCAAATGTTAATCCGAATTCAGCTTGGCTTCCTAATAAGAAATTTGAGGTTGAGGTAAGCGTTTCAGTCTTAAAATGATAGAAGTTGATTCTGACCGCTACTAAAATTTAATTTTCCGACAGAATAAATTGGCTGTCAAAATATGGAGTGCTTGAATCTAACCTAATCTGAGTTCGTTGCCAAAGCTTATTTTGCAGAAAGTGCCAAATGGATTTTATCTGAGAATTTGTAACTGAGTTGTTCCAGTAAAAGAAGACGAATAGGGAGCATAGGGCCAGCAGTGGAGTCACAAGTGGACATCATGTGTGACACAGATTCTGATGCTAGCGATGATTACGATACTGATGCATTAACTCCAAACCATCGCCATCGTAAAGAGCTATAGTTAAATTTATGAAAAAAATAATAAAGGAAACATAAAAAGTTGTTGCATATTTCAAGGGGACACACAGTGGCCTCAATAGAGAATTTAGCGGAAAAAAATTATTTCAACAGATTTGCGTTGACGGATTTATACAACACTTCGCATGGCTAGTTTATCTGCAGTTAATCTGGATCAACGCTGCCATCTGTTTATGTTTTTGTTGTCTCTACGGTGTTTCTGCTACTTATCAATACTGCCTTTGCTTTGTGATCAGCAAGTTCTAAATAGATATCTTAATGAAATCCATGCCTTAACTCTCTTTATAGCTTCGCTGGCTTTCCTCTAAATATTCTGTATATGCTTCGCTACTATTACTACAGCGATATCGTCTGCGAATCCTATTATTTTTGCCCGAGCAGGCATACATTGAGTTCCACATCAGAAGCCCGAGAACAGATCTTTGGGTACCTCCGCGGAAACACTGTTTGTTGCAGGCCCCCTTGATGTCGAGGAAGGCCCCTACAGCATAACCTTTATGAGTGAAGGCTTTGGTTATCCACTTTACTAATGTGTGCAGTGCGGTATGCACCGAACTTCCCTTCCAATAAGCGCGTTGAGCTCTCGAAAGATGGTAACGAGAAATCCTGCTTCTTATGTCCAGGTCTCTTCCGACTGAGATAAAGCCTAACCGGAATGATAAGGAATATACTAAGGCAAAGATGAATATGAAAAGGAATAATAAGGGGAAGAGAAATGCGAAGACAAGGACCAAGATAAAAGAGAATGCGAAGGCGAAGACTACTAAGTTAAGCGCGAATTACGTTGGTGAAGATGAAGACAAATTTGAAGTCGCACACGAATCCAAAGAAGTTGGAGGCCCAGTATCAGCCTTTGGCAGCAAAGTGCAATCGTTAAATTCTGCTTTTTATGTTATAGCAACCAAGAAGAGGTTAGAATTCACGAAAGATCACTACAAATACGAAAACGGCACCAACAGTCAATAAAAATCTAGAAAAAGCCAAGAATAAAAAATGTCGTTTTTTCTTGCTTAAAATATTAAAAGTGAAAATTTTAAGACATGCATATTCATGTTTTATAATACTCGAGGATTCTTATGGCACTTATGTATTATATGTTTGAAAAGGACTGAGCCGGTAGTACCACTTACAGTTGCTCGCAGCGGCTATTAGTTGCCTGTAGAGTTTTCTTGTTAGTAGTAACCTCAATAGAATACATAAAAGCCTCAATTGAGAAGACGTGGTTTTCGAAAGGGGGGTTTGGAACGCTCCTCTTTATTATTATTACCTTCTTACCTTCCTTTTATTAACTCGGGATGTAACTATGTAATATTGATGCGCCTAAAAGATGCAGCGATTTCTATTCTCAAGTTACATACCTGATGACAGTACGAATGGCAATTATAATAGGGAGGTTTTAGTTTTTTAAACTATAATTTTATTTAAAGTATATTTATCAAAAAATAATGCCACATTTACTGCGTTATCTTTTTTGCGCACCTATGACCTACTCTTTTGCTTTTCACCCAAAATGCCCGGACTTCCTAACAAAACAAGAAAGCTTAGATGTCTAACAGAAATTAACTATTTCCAAAAATATTGAACAGTTTATTGTAAACAACAGCTAATGGCAGCAAGATTTTACAAAGCATACGCATTCAATCAACAGAATAAGAAAGCAGAAAGCATTCACTTGTTGACGAAGAAAAATGTAAAAAGTTAGTGTTTTAGTGAAATGTGATGTTGCTGCGAGAAATGGCTGACGAAAAAATGCCACCGTTCACTAATAACTGATAAGAGGAACATTCAAGCGTTAAAATAACAATAAAGACAACAAAAGCAACAAAAAGGAGCAGCAGCAACAACAACAGCAATATCAACAGCAGCAGCAGTGGAAGCAGCTGTAGCAGCGTTAGAAAAAAACAAAAACAAAAAAAAAAATTAGCAATTTATAAAATTTACTAAAAGCGTGTGCATACAGAATAACAGTAACAACTAACAACAACACTAACAAACAACCAATTCTAATGCTCTTTTTGCGTGTTGCCACTTTAAAGCCAATAATTCAGCTCCTTTGTACTTTTATCTAAATACCCAGTTGTTGTTGCTATTGCTGGCATGGTTATGTTTATTGTTTTTTGTTGTCGGTAATTTACCGCAACACGTCTGCTGTAGCGCAGCAGCCACACTGCAACACTTATAAGTAATGATTACCAGATGATTTAGCGATAAAATGGCAAAACCATTGACCTGACACAGAGAGTTGAGTTGGTTGCTCTTTAGTAGTAAACCACCGCTGTTGTTGTTGTTGTTGTTGTTGCTATGGCTGCTGCTGCCGCCTGCGATTTGTTGCTGTGCTTTCCTGCTGTTGTTGTTGTTGTTGTTGTTGTTGTTGTTGTTGTTGTTGTTGTTGTTATTGTTGCTGTTGATTGTGTGTGAAAAAAGTGTTGCTTCCACTATTTTCGATTTGTATTCACTGTTTGTGTTATTGTTGTATTTAATGTTGCCGTTACGGTTCATTATGAACTGGTGTTGTTAAATTGCTATTGCTATTGCTGTCATTGTTGTTATTTTTGTTGTTGTTGCTGCTGTGTTTTTTTTGTCGATGTTTGCCTTGCTTACATAAAACAATGCCGCCGCCGCATTCGTGGCTCGATTAAATATATCTGCCAATGCATGTGTGTGTGGATGCGAGCGCGCATGCGTAGTTTAAACGCAACGATGGCATCATCTCTGCTGCCGCTTTGGTGGCTTTCGTGGTTGCTTATGATTGTTTTAACTAAGCGGTTCGACTAGACTGTGTGTGGGAAAATTTTTTCGTTGCATAGAAGTTTTGGAAGCAGTTAATGGCCGTAGAACAATGAGCGTAAGTGGAAAAAAATTAAGATTTGAAATTTAAAAATGAAAAAAAAACTAAATTATAACAGGTCAAACTGAGAAGATTTGTAGTTTCGAGAGCAATAAATGTGTGGAAAATATTTAAAAGTAAAGTTTTGAATGTCATTTCATGAAATCTGTCATGAAAAATGTCATTTTCAGAAACATGAAAAATACAGAAGTACTCTCTAAATTTAATATAGAGAAAAATAAAAACGCTACTCCAAAATTTGGGCACTCAGATTATATTGGAAGGTTTTTTTTTGTCTTCGACGACTCCAAATAAAATTGCATGCCTTACATTTTTGTAGAACATTCTATTTGTCCAAATGCTGTTTTAAGTAACCTCACGCGTAACTTCTTCAAAATAGGGTTGAAATAACCGGGATCTTTCGGGATTTTTTTGGTATTTTTACTGAACCTTCTATACATTATTTCGAGATATTTTGGCAGCCCTCGTGTTTTATTTTTTGGCTTTTTTCGGTAAGTTTCGGTATTTTTTTGGCATTTTTTTTTTTAATTTTTTCGAGACTTAGATTTGTTGTTTTAGTTTTTCTTTTTGGAATTTTTCCGCAACTTTAGGGACGATTTTTGGAATTTTTTTATTGATTTTTGATATTTTTTTGGTGTATTTCGATTCTATGTTTTAGGTTTTCTGATGCGTCAGATTTTTTTCGAGACCTCCCGGATTTTTCGGGGTTTTTAAAATTTTTTTCTGATTTATCGGGGTACTCCGTTATTTACTGTTTGTATTATTTCAGAATCTTTCGCGATCTTTCCCGATTGTACGGGGACTTTTGAGGTTTTTCTTAAACTTTTGGGATTTTGCGAGACTTTATGGGGTACTCCGTTTTTTATTTGCTGTGATATTCTAGAATTTTGGGTTTTTGATTTTTTGTAACTTTTTTTAAATTTATTTTTTTTTGTTATTTCTGGATTTGTTTGATTTTTTTAGTGCACTTGAAATATTTTTAGAACCTTCTTTTTGGATGTCGAGATTTTTTAGAGTACACCGTTTTTTGTGTTGTTTCAGTTTTTTTTGCGGGGTCAATAGGGATTTTCCGAGGACTTTTGAGATTCTTGTAAAACTTTTTTTTTGTCATCTTTTGAGATTTTTTCGGTAATCCGTTTTTTATTGATTTCCTTCGGCATTTTTTGGGGTCTTTCGAGATTGTTTAGACCTTTTTTGTGTTTTTACGAGATTTTTAGATTAGTCCGTTTTTTATTTTTCTTTTGATATATCAGGCATTTTTCGGGATAATTCGGGGAATTAGGGATTTTGTTCAATTTTTTCTTTGATTCTTCGATATATTTTTTGTGTGCTCGGTTTTTTCTTTATTGCGGTACTTCATGATTTTTTTGGAGCTTTCGGGATTTTTTCAGAAATATTCCGTATTTGTCTAGAGTTTTCCCAATGCCTTTGGGATTTTTCGGGAGCTTTTGGTATTTTTGAGGAAATTTCGTGTCTGGAGCACATAGAATTATCAACTTTTATTTTTACTAATGCCTGAAATGGAAGCAAAAAGTAATTTTTGTTTTTTTTTTTTGAAAAAATATCGAGTAAACTGCCTTTTTAATCAACAAATGTCTTTGACTTTAAAGGCGTTTTAGTTTCGAGTTTCGAGTAGATGTCCTACTATAGAACCCTGCGTTCCGAAAATATAATAGCCAGTCTAATAAACGTATCAGCATTTAAGTAGTTTCAGTTTTTAGTTCCATTGCATTCCACTGAAATTTTGAGCTGCTTTCCTTCGCTCTTTAACTAAAACCTGCAAATTATAGCAATCAATTTGCTTGTGCCACACAAAAACGCTCGAGGAGTGACATCCATTTGAGTGTTGAACAGTGGTGCAGAGGCGCGTGCGCGGTGCAGCTAAGTAGCCGAAAGCGGATATAGCAGCTAACAAAGGAATGCAAAAAAGCTGAAAATTCAACCAAAACCACATCATTGCAGCGGTGGCTAGGTGTAAGCATACCACCTGTCTGTTTTGCCACTGCACCAATTGTCCGTAAAACTATTTTAACCCTCTACACTCCAGTCTCACCTCACCGAAGTCACCAACTCATTGACGTTTCGTCGCTGATGATGTCTTTCAGCGATTGCGGTGATTTTCACTTTAA